TGTTTGTTTTAATTATCTGAGTGAGGCACTTCTCTGTCTTTTCACCTTCCAATTGACTTCCTCTAAAGTTACAATCATGGTGGCTATTCTCAAATTTATGGCCGTCTGGATTTTGATTTTTACCAGATTGAATTTTTTTTAGAATGTATAGAACCAGGAAAGTTCTCTCGGATTACATAGCCATAATTTTGCTCTTTATATAATTTCTTGCTTCCAGCTATTCTGTCTTTAATTATAACTTTCTTTGATAAGTGCAAAGTGATTTCTAATGATACATATTAACAAATATTGCTTTTATCTGAAGATCATAGGTTCTCTATAGATTGACTTAACGTCTTTTCTTTGCAGAAGTCTGTAAGGAAAATGACACTCACAAGATTCTTCTTGAGGCAAAACTTAGAACCCTTGGGAAGTGTATGCATTTCTGTTGGCAGTCTCCCAGTAGGCCTGGAACCAAGTAAATGCGAAACCTTGATTGGCGACATTCTAGGAGAAAGTGTGTTCTGTTTTGTTTGTTTGTGAGATGCTTATAGACAAGTGACTTTGTTTTATGCGAGATTAACTTCGTCCCCTGAGTCCTCGTTCGCTTGACAACCTGTCACATTCATTCCACTTTGCAAGGGGAATGGAGGTTTGGGAACGAGTTGACAAGAGAAATTTTAGTGGCCAAATGACTTGCGCATTGGAATCTTCTGAGGACGGTTTCTGGTTTTGGTTGTTCTCATCCTCTTTCTTCATTTCAATTAAGAGTTTGTATGTAATTGTTTTGCAGCTATGGAATATTGTGAGATGAAAAGTGTGTTTCCAAGTTATGGTGAGCTACTAGATTCTAAAGTTCAGTGCATGAATCTATTTACACAAGACTTAGTATTATTACAGTTTATAACCCCTCATTAATTCTGGCGCAATTTTATTGGTTACTATATGTCACGTGGTGCAAAATCACAGGACAGTTATCACGCAATAACCCCCGTCCGCGTCGATATTTGTCCTCCTATTTTTTTCCGTGCAAAAAAAAAAACATAGTCAACACAAGATTTTCAACTTTTCCGTATTCCTATTTACATGGAAGGAAACCAAACTGTTTTTTTTTTTTTTGCTTGCTCGTGTCAATCACGCGTATTCGCCATCAGATCACCGCTGGCTTTTTTTGTTTGTTTACGCGCAGTTTAATTGCGATGTGGAAATTAATGGGAGGGNTATATATATATATATATATATATTTTACCCTGGAATGATAAGTTAGTAATTTTAATTATGATAATTATTAAATTTTAATTGGCTGGTACAACGTTTATGTCATTAAAAGGATCAATTTGAATCAGGCCATACTCTTAACCCTTTTATACCCTGACATCAGTAATTACATACTCTCCATACTGTTTTGTACAACTTTGCCATGGTGCTGACAAAGAGAATTTGCGTAACAATTAATAGCTTCTTTAGTTGGTGATCATTTTCTATATTCTAGCGACCTTAAGGTTTGACTCAGGGGGGTACTGTGAGGAGGAAGTAGATGATTGTCACTCTTTGGGGTCTAAGGGCCAAGCCCATGTCTCTGAGAGTTATGTCATATTGGGAGATTGGTGTGATTTTGCAGGAATCTGGCAGAAATATCCAAAGTACTCTCCGGGTTATGAAGTCTTCAATTTTGTAGGAAAGTGATCCTGGTAGTTAGAAACCCTACTTACGGAGTAGTGGAAATGAACCCTGAAAAAAATTCAGGCCCTTATGGGATTTGAAACCATGACCATTGTGATACCTGTGTAGGGCTCTAGTTCATGAAAATTGATCAGTCCCGTCTGCATAATTTGTTGTTGCTTAAACATTTCTTTGGTAAGTTGAGAGATACCCCCCTCTTAGAATGTTGAAAATCTGTGTTTACTGATTGCCTTTTTTTTTCTCAACTTTTTTAACCACCCGCATGCTTCATCTAAGGACAAAACTGCATTTTTTCCTCAGCTGTGGGTGTTCAAATATAGTGAACTTATTGTTTTGTAACATATCCAATACCGTGAGGCAGGAACATTCAAGACAACCCCAGTGACTGCACAGACAACTGTTACAGATGTGATAAGTGCTGCTTTAGAAAAATTTGGATTGAAAGTTTGTCTCAAGTTTCAGTGCGTTATGTCATCAACTTTTAGGGTGCTCTCCTCCCTCCCTTTCTTCCTTGGTTTCTCCCTCCCCCCCTCCCCCCTCACACCCCGTCATCTTTCTCTTGATCGTTTCTCAATTCCTTCCTCCTTTCTTTCACTGCTTCCTCCCTGTCCCTTTCTCCCTTCCTCTTTCCGTCACTTTCTCCCTTCCATGCTCCCTTTTCCTTCCCTCTCTTTTCTCACTCTCATCCTTTCTCTCAGTTCACTTCCATCACTCGTCTCCTTATTATGTAGTCCAATCTTTTGGAACATTTTCAATCTTTCTTTTTGTTTCACAGGACTGCTTTTTAATGCAAGTTAAAATAAATTAAATACCAATTGAGTAAAGTTTGAATGGAATTCCTCTGGTTTTTTGTTAACTATGAAATTAATTCTTATGCACAGGGTGCCAATGAAAATGACTTTTCCCTGACTGAAGTACACCTAACTCAAGGAGGTAACATATCCCATTTTATGTAGATGTTTCTAAACTCATTTTTCGTAGTTGAGGTCGTAATAGGATAAAGGACATTTGCTTTAGTTATTAACTCAATACTGCACACAATACCGACTGAAAGAATAGCAGCATTACATTTGTATTATTACATTTGTATTATGCTTGTAAATCCGCCATGTTGCACGCAATTTACACGCAAATTACGCACGAGTAAAAGAAATACACGAAAGCGTGTGCAGAAAATTACTCGCAAATTCTTCATAGAACTCCATGCGGTGCATTCAATTTCAAATTTAGCACTTTTGATAATTAACCTGCCAGTTCACACCACTTTTATTCTTATTGAATTATCAGTCCATGAACGAAGAATGGAACACAATGACTGTCCGTGGAAATCCTTGACGGATATTAGAAAAGTAAGATTTTTTTATTAATCAGGAGGACTTTGGAATGCATATAATTTTCAGCTTTTGTTTCAAATCAATAATAAGCCCTTGAACTTTGTAAAGGCTACACTTTTTCTTCTAAGTTCTCAATGTAAATGACATTTTCCTCACGGACTCTAGTAAATTTATTTCCTTTATATTTCCTCAACTGAGTGAACGTACTTCAAGAAATCGCCTTCCCCTCCTCACTCACAAAAGTTGACTCCTTTCTTTGTTTTGGACTCTCCCAATATTCTCCCATCTTTTTGTTTGTTTGTTTGTTTGTTTGTTTGTTTTAATTATCTGAGTGAGGCACTTCTCTGTCTTTCCACCTTCCAATTGACTTCCTCTAAAGTTACAATCATGGTGGCTATTCTCAAATTTATGGCCATCTGGATTTTGATATTTACCAGATTGAATTCTTTTTAGAATGTATAGAACGAGAAAAGTTCTGCCGGATTATATAGCCATAATTTTGCTCTTTATATAATTTCCTGCTTCCAGCCATTCTGTCTTTAATTATACATTTCTTTGATAAGTGCAAAGTGATTTCTAATGATATATAACAAATATTGCTTTTATCTGAACATCGTAGGTTCTCTAAAAAATTGACTTAACGTCTTTTCTTTGCAGAAGTCTGTAAGGAAAATGAAACTCACAAGACTCTACTTGAGGCAAAACTTAGAACCCTTGGGAAGTGTATGCATTTGTGTTGGCAGTTTCCCGGTAGGCCTGGAACCAAGTAAATACAAAACTTTGATTGGCGACATTCTAGGAGAAAGTGAGTTCTGTTTTGTTTGTTTGTGAGATGCTTATAGACAAGTGACTTTGTTTTATGCGAGATTAATTTCGTGCCCTGAGTCCTCGTTCGCTTGACAACCTGTCACGTTCATTCCACTTTGCAAGGGGAACGGAGGTTTGGGAACGAGTTGACAAGAGACATTTTAGTGGGCAAATGACTTGCACATTGGAATCTTCTGAGGACGGTTTCTGGTTTTAGTTGTTCTCATCCTCTTTCTCCATTTCAATTAAGAGTTTGTGTGTAATTGTTTTGCAGCTAGGGAATATTGTGAGATGAAAAGTGTGTTTCCAAGTTATGGTGAGCTACTAGATTCTAAAGTTCAGTGCATGAATCTATTTACACAAGTATTATTACAGTTTATAACCCACCCATT